CACTAGCAATATTTAGAACTGAAGAAGCTTTATAAAAAAAGGTACAGGGAAAATAAATACATATGTTTGAAGTGTCTTTAAGGAACACAGAAAAACTTGGGGCATGTCTCCCCTGTTCGAACTGAGCAAGACTTGGACATATTTGAGTGATGACAAATTGGTGCAGTTCTTATTTTAGACACATCCTTTTTTATAATTTCCAGTTATAACACATGTCAAAATGAAAACAAAGCATCACCGCTTGAAAGCAAAACAGGCAGCAGGGACCAGGCTTTCTGGACATTTTTCATCCTATTTTGACAACCACAAGGAATAAAACTGTTCATTCTTCAATTCCCCAACAGTCAGGTAAAATGTTGTTTACCCAGAATTTTAACTGCTTTTGACATGAAACACGCAGCTCTGGAGCAATTAAACAACAGTCTAACAGATTGAAATAAAGTGCTGTGATTTGATGCAGAACTTTTATCACTCAGATGAACCAAAATTAATGATTCGTGGTGAGACATGTTTTGATGCTCTTGCAGTTTTAGTGGCAGTGTTTGCTGACCCTTCATTCCTCTGCAGGTTTGCCCCTCATCCACATCAGTTTGGGTCTCATAGAAAACAATGCTGTGAGAAAAAAGTGATTGTGGGTGATTGTTTTTTAAATGATTTAAGGCGGTGAGTTGTTATTGACCTATTAATCTTGGTTAGGCAAAGAATTAAGTATACATTTTTGTAATCAAGGGACATTGCTGATCTATTTATTCAGTTTAAAATTAACAGGATAAACAATCGTGTTTACAGTATGATGGGTTGAGTCGACATTTGCAATCTGGTGATGACCATAAATAGGTTTTAAAACTTCTATTTAGTAAATCAAAAGGTGTTGTCTCTGAGAGTATGTCCATGTTTTTACAAGTGATGTTGATCATAAAAGTTCAAAAGGGGGTAAATGGGGAACACGATCTGAATCCAGTATGTATAAAGACTGTGTCTACAGGAGCATTTTCTCATAAATCTTACAGAGTGCACTGACAAACTACAAAAGATAGTCTTCTAGTTTTTGACCTATTCCCTCATATTTTGCAGGTTACGACAGAAAACTAAAACTTTGTTGTTTAAAAACCAAAGCAATAAGTGAGAAGTACCTCTTGAGAAATTTGTCATCCTATTTTGACATCCTGAGGAAATATTAGTGAACGTAATTCATGTCTTGAACAGCCAGGTAAAAAATGTTTCATGCTTCCTCAGAGTCATAATCACTCTTGATATGACGAACTCAGCTCTGGGGCAATTACACAACAAAACAAAGTAGAACAGGACTGTGACATGTTTTGAATGATGTTAAAGTTAAACTTGCATCACACTGATGACGCCATTTTGCTGATTCATGCTGACATGTATTATAAAGCTCTGGCAGTTTTCACTTGTGCTTGAAAGCTGCTTTTGATTGTTATAAAACATGAATCAAAATGTGGTGCAGAGCATCTCACCCCTTTGACTGGTTTCCTCTCAGTGTGTTGAAACTGTGTGCACACACCTGCTGGGTCATTATTGCTGTACTTTACCTGCTGCTTTTCATGTTCAATCCTGTCAGTGAAGTAAACATATTCTGTAAATTTTAGATTTTGTGAGTGTTAATCAAAAACAGTGTTTAACAGGCTGACTGTTATGTTCCTGCTCAGTTTTATGCCAGGGCAGACTGCCAAACATCACAGTAAGCCTCATTGTACCTCGCTGACGGATAATGAGTTGAATTAATCTCTATTGTAGTTCTCTCAGCTGCTGGTTCCTATTTTGCTTTCTTTCTTTCCCTCCTCAGTTTTGGCTCTTTCATCGGAGCCCTTTGTTTTTGCCAAAAGTAGGCTCCTTCTGCTTTGCTGTTTTGTCTATTTATATTTTGCTTCCTTTTTGTTTTGAATGCTTTCACATCTGGATTGTTGGGAGCAAAGCACCTTGGCCGGGATCACTGGACATGTTTTAAAACATCAGCGTCACTCTAATGTGGGCCAAGAGGAGAACACTGGACCTCTGTGCAGTGGTGGTGTTTTCCTTACTCATCGTGCTCAGGTAGTAGGTGAGCTGGCACAGTAGCTTTTGTTTTTAGCAGTAGTGATAGTATCGGTAAGACTTGCTTGCATTTGCAGACGTAAGGAGCCTCTTACGTCTCTATGCGTGATGACGAAGTGTGTTTTGGTTCAGAAGTTTCCAGCATGGCATCGAAGCAAAAGCACTCCAGAGTTTGGTTGTATTTCACGCGAAAAGATGATACTGGGGCCAATGTTCCCTCTAATTTTTCATGTGTCTGGGCAAACACACAAGCTTCCTGAGCACACTGAAGATTGGTGTGGAGCGCGGGGGGGGGGGGGGGGTCCGACGCGGCTTGCACAAGGAAATAAAACAGGTGCCAAAACTATCTGCAGTGCACGATCGCCGCGCTCCTTCTGGTCACCGACCGACACATCACTAGCTTCCATTCAGCGCAGCCTTTAGTTTCCACCGGCCACGTATTTCTCTGCAGCGCTTCTGCTCCTCCAACTGTTGTTTCAGAGCTATCATGGATATGCCGCTATGTTTTCCTGACTTTATCAAACATGTTTGTCCACTTCTTTTATGTATCCGTGAATGAAAGTCGTCTACAGAGCTATACACACACAGACAGACACACACACAGGGACACGGACCAGCGATGACAACTGCTTGTGTAGATTTACTGTTGTCCATATGTTTTCGCTATCTGTGCGTAGCTGAGTTAATATTTCGAAATAAATATCAGACTTTGATAAAAAAACATTTTAATTTACTTTTTAGGTGACAATGTCACCAGGTGGACATCCGTGGCTTATTTCCCGGTGCGGCTTATACGTGTAAAAAGTTATTTTTAAAATAAGCATCTGCGGCTTATATAACGGTGCGCTCTATAGTCCGGAATTTACGGTATGTAAGCAATGTCAATGCGATGATTGGCTACGTAGCGTAAGTGAACCGTATCACATCATTGGCTGGACATCTATCACTCACTGTGTTAGACATGCGCTGTATAGCTTTTCTTGTGCGCTGATAATGTGTGAGCAGTGCGCGATTGCGCAGGCGCGCAGCTTAGAGGGAACATTGACTGGGCGACTACTTGTAACACTTGCAAAGCTTACATTTCATCGAAGGGGGGAAATGCAGAAGTGTAAAGTGTTTGATACACTACTTAGCAAAAGCAAGACTGGTATAGACAAAAGCAGGAGCAGGCTTCATCTGGCTTCATCTGCTTTAAAGGTGATGGTAACGTTTAAGTCCCCTAGGTCCTATCTGTTGCATAGATGTTAACCCCCTTTCACTATGTAAATACTGTCCCTCTCCTTAAATTACATTTAGATGACGATGATGGCCAGAGTCATGCTAGCTCAGAGGCTAGCTCTCACACTGGCTCAGAGGCTGCAGTGGATAGCTCTCGTACACCTTTGGCAGCCACTTTCACCGAGGTAGGAAAGAGTAAAAGGACAGAGGTGAAGATAAACCAAGCTGTGACCAGATTTATGTTCAAAGGGTATGTCACGTAACAAATTATTAGTGCATGGATATGCCATATCTTCTGTCCAAAGGTAACAATATTTAAGAGTTAATGAGAACAAACCCATTTGTATTATCTTATTTCTCACTCAATGAGAATTGATAAGTGAATCCATGAGGAATCGTATCGATAAGCATTATTGATAATGGAATCAGAATTGCTAAGTTCTTAACAATTCCCATCCCTAATAGTAGTATAGCAACACTACAGGGCTTAACAATGTCTACTTGTTCAATACCTGACATTTCTGTCCAGCTCTTGTGCCTTTGCATACTTTTGAAACTGGTGTCCATCATTTGATAAATATGCTTCCCGGCCCAAATTTTGTTGTGGCACTTCACCTCTTCGTAGCTCCAAGTCAAACCAAAACTCATTTTGTGGGTAGATCGACTGGCTAATGTTAACTTGCATCATCAAGCCAGCTTGCCAGAAAGTTAAGTCTTACTCTTATGCGTGGCATTAGTGTTGGGCGGTATTAACAAAATCTTATATCCCTGTATGAGTAATTTTACATCACGGTGATGGTATATATCTCAGTATGTTTTTCCCTGTAAATTCCATTAATGGTTTAAAAATAACCATACTGTCTCATTTGTTCATTTTCCTTTCATTTTTAAACTTGGATTTGTTTACAAATGCAAACAGAAAAGCCAGACCAGTCTGGCGATTTTTTATCATATGGTGTACCTTTGAAATGCTCTGCAAAGCTCTTTTGTATGAGAGAAGCTGCTGCAACTTTAGTTTTTGGTGCAGCAGGTGCACCACGCATCTTTTGGCTCTCAAAATAGAGCTTGGCATGTCTCATCTTTAGGTGGTGGAAGAGGTTGCTGGTGTTTCCACTTCCAGCAACGACGGCCACACGACACTCTTTGCATAATATTGTTTTTTGGTCATTGTTGGATTTCCTTAATTCAAAGAATCTCCAGACAACTGATGCCGCGACTCGTGCCCTTTTTCGGAATGAGTTCCTCCTCCTCTTCCTCATGTTGTGTGGGTCGGGCTGCCTCCATTTGCTCAGTACTGCCAGTAATCTCCGCGTCCGCCATGACCACCACCAGTAGCTACGTTTACATGGAGCCAAATATTCCGAATATAATCGGATTAGAAGCCCAATCGGAATGAAAATGCTCCATATAAACACCTCATTCGGAATAAACAGGCCCATTCCGAATGGAATTTCATTCCGATTCACAGAGGTAGAATTTTCCTTTTCCCATTCCGATTAAAAGCAAAATCCTGTCATGTAAACGGTGAATCGGAAAGTTGTCAGGCTGGGTTCTGTCTGCACATGCTCTGTCCTGATGTAAACAAGCAGTGACGTATGACTCACATGGAAACATGATGGCGGCTTCCAAGCAGAGCACGATGCACTATCAATACAATTTTAACTACGTAAATGGAGGAAAACTATAAAGAGGGATCTTATAGGGCTTGTTTTTGCCTGATTACTTATTTAAGCTGTTGGAAAAGAAGTGCAGTGTATGAGTATAATAATGTACCAGCATCTGTCATCCACTACAGCCTGGAGGACATAGGAAGTCCATCCTTTTCTGTTCACAAAGTCTTTAAAGCCATCTGATGGAGGGAGGATGGGGATGTGTGTCCCATCAATCAGTCCCATGATTTGAGGGATGAAATGTGCTGCCTCGAATCGCGTGGCAATTTCTGAGGCTTCCTCTTCATTGGGCATCTGAATGAGCTCTTTTATTGGTCCTTTTAACATGCCCTGACAAAACATGTATGTGAACTTTTTCACAGTGCTTTTGTGAATGCCGAATTGGTTAGATACGAGGCGGTATTCTGCACAGCTACCAAGTCTATACAAAACAATAGCGACGCGCATCATACACGGAATGGGTGCTCTGATGGTGACTTCATCAGGAGCCATAAATCCCTCTGCCAGTCCACACAACTTTGTGAATGAAGAGCGCGTCATCCGAAAGTTTTGCTTCCATTCAAGGTCGGTAAACTCCAGAAGCACAACTCTTTCCCACCAGTCTTTGCTGCGGATCTTCATCCACAGCTTTTTGGTCTTCGGAGGAGGCATGGGCAGAGCGGGCAAACATTGCACAGCACTAACAATAAAGGCTTCTTCTTCACGTCTTCTCCTCTGTAGTGCGTCCAGTAAGAGCGCGTTGGTGGCAAGCTGTTGCTTTAATAAAAGTGAAAAAACAATCGCTACTACTCTGCTTAACAGACGAAAGACCTCCATCTTTGATCAATCACGTGATGTTTGAAGGTATCACGTGTCTGTAAATAGCTGTTCCGATTGAATGCCGTGGCACATGTAAACACCAGATCAGAATAGATCGCTTCCATGTAAACAGTTCGCCTGGGAGCTTCAATCGGAATGATTATAATCCGAATGAGAAAAAAGTCTGCATGTAAACGTGGCTACTGAAGCTGTTTCTTCTTCATCATAACTATGACATGCAGTCTGCTGGGCACACTGGTGATTATAGGGAGCACACACAAACCTGATCAACCAAAGGGAGCGAACAAAGTCCACACAACACACTGATAAATATATAGAAACGCACCCAAACAGATGCGCTCCAGCTTTCCTGCTAGCGATCGCAGACAACTTCACACTGACTCAGAGAGATGCACCAGACACAGATCTGCCATCTCTCTTCGGTATAAACGGTAGAGCAAAATTTCTACCTGTAGACACTTTTATACCATCACACGGTATCTGCTGTCATACCACCCAAAGCTACATGGCATATGTTGAAAAAGAGGCTGAGGCACAGGAAGCCTGTTGAGCACCTTCTGTCAGCATCCCAGGCTACGTAGCAAATATGTTTCCATGATCCTGGACGATATCAAGATTCACAGTAGTACTTCATACTTAATGTTGGACTCTTGATACAGCTAAACTCAGAGCCATTAAGACTATTTCCTCATCTGATGAAGATGCCACACTAGAAACAAACCAGCGCTGGTAAACAACCTGAAAAATGCCACACCCCAATATGCACCAAACCGAATGTGTAATACATTCAATCCTGTATTTTGGACTGTGACTGTGTGGCCATTTTTTATAGGTCCAGGTTAGTCTGGATAGTGGATATCAGGTTGAGGTTCCAGTACTGAGCATTGCGGGAACAGCGGATGTGGGTCTTTAAAATTGGTCCTGTGCAGGTCTCTGCTTTGGCAAACTTTACAGAATTGCAGTGTGAACACAAAGAGACCCAAGCAGAAAATGCAACCGTGCTTCATTGAATCATTATCACCAGAACAAAGCTAGTGGGCCACAGATATGAAAGTGCCTCCTTGATCTTCTCCCCAGATGATCTCTGTGGTCAGTTTGGGGTCAAATAAACACAATTATCTGGGTGCATCTTTTAGGGATTACTTATGGCTTCAATAACCTAAACCAATTGGCATTACCAGTAATATTTTCTTTCTTTTTACGGCTGGGTGTATTATTTTGACATTGTAAAACATACTACTTGCTTGTAACACACAGCAAGTGTTTCCCTCAAGATCTATGCCTCCAATACCTACTTTAAATTCACTGTAGCTTTTTCAACAAGTGTGCATAGGTCAACAAAAAAGTACTTTTATTTTACCAAAGTTACAGGAATACATTTGATGGATCACATCACTTTAATGCTTGATTTAGAGGACATGAAAGCCAATGAAACCGTATGAGTTAAAGTAGAAACAACTCTCTGATACATTTGAGGATGGGAACATTTCTGCACCAGAAAATGTCTTTTGGTCATTTTGTAAACACCTGCAAATCAGTTTTTGAAACTTTGAGTCACAAACAGGTATTTTTTCATGAGTGTATACTGACTGAATAATTCACAACCATCATTTATGTCTTTTTTACTGTTTTTTCAGCCTGCCCTCCACTTAACAGGGTCCATTGAAGGTCCTGGTGCACTGTCACTTTTGCTCTTCTTTACTATTCAGTTTGCTCTTTTGACGCTCAGTATCAAAAAGTTGTAAACCATACATCAGCCATCTTCAGGTTGATGACTTTAAATCATCTATACTGTGGTGTAGATGGTGAACAGATTTAATCTCATCTTCATCTTGAGTTGATTTAGTCATCCGGCTCTGTGTGCAGGTAGAAACTTGCTCAAACTGTCAGCATGTGAGAAAGCAAACTGTTTGAATATTCAGAGTCACGCCGAAGCATCTTTTCTCTTCTCCTGCCCCGGTGTGAAACTGTGCCCTCTTACTTTTTCATCATTTTCCTTCCACTTTCTCCAGCTCAGTCAGATTCATTTGAATTTTAGTCTGGACACATCTCCTTTCAACCTGGAGAGAAGTTTATTGGCATGAGTCTCATCCAGGTCAGAGTCTAGAGGGTACATATCAAATGAGGACATACTCTCTGATATTGAGTTTCTTTTATACACAAGTTGGGTAATAGCATTGAAAATTTTATTACTCCCCACTTTTTTAACCTTATATTCACTTTAATTTCCAATCTACTTAAAACTCAGTGAAGTCCCATCACTAAAACCTAATACGTCTAATAAGTCTGATCATCATTTAACATAAAAAATGTCATCTGAAAACATAACCACACTTGAACATGTTTCCAAATCTCCTGGTACAAGCTCCACTAAAATGAATTTGGTAGACCTTGAAACTCACCTAATAAAACCTTCTTTTTTTGACCGACTTACACTCACTCTGGCTTTGGAGGGAAAGCTTAATGGACAAGGTCACAAAAACTCAGACAGCAGCTCAAACAAGTGCTCTCATAATGAAAAATGCATCTTGTTTTCTGTGAGTGGCACAAAACACAAGCATTACATTCTCCGAAGCGCGAGTGCATTACAGGGTACAGACCATTCATTTTGTTTCACGCAAGTCGCAACTTGTGTCTAAGGAATGACTCCTGTATGTATGTCTGCAGCCAGCCTCAAGTGAAAACTTGTGGAACTGCAGTTTTTAGCACCTCAAACACAGGTCAGACACAAAAGCGTAAGGTGGGCTCAAGTGCCAGTTCCTGTTAGAGTGTCTGTTTCTATTTTCTCCTTTTTGTTTTAACCTAATACAAGACAGACTAAATGAGCAGTCCTCTCCCCACACTGCTACAGGCATGCCCAAAAAGCAACCTCTGGTCTAGAGAAATGAAGCCGATGCAGAAGTGCTGGAACTCCTGTACACAATGAAACAAAAAAAACATCTTGCTGACTATTAAGTCATTCAGTGCCATTAACAGATTTTGATGGAATTTTTAGTTCTTTTGTTTTCTGCCAGAGGGCGCTCCTTCCCTAACATGCGACTAAGTTTGGGGTCACCCTGAACTAAGAAAAGCCGACAAATACATCATAACCATGTTACAATAACAAAAAATAAAGTGAGACCATGTTACAATAACAGAAAATAAAGTGAGAAGTGTGCCATCAAGCGTGCCCATTAGCATAGTTGTGGAGTGTTTTTTCTCCTTGAGGAGAGTGGGAAAATGCCAAAGTCATTAGCTAACGGTCTCGGTGCATTAGCTCCAGTCGGCACGGTGCTACTGTCTCTGAATCCAGTGGAGATCCCGGTACCAGCATGTCGTTGTGCCGCTGGTGCCAGTACTGGTGAGCGAGACTGAGCCAGAATTCAGTGACAGTCCCGGTGAGGAGGACGCGGGCAGTTGTGGCGTCAGATTCTCAAAGGCCAATACGACGTCCAGCTGTCACAAAATGACCAGTCACAATCGGATCTGAATGGTGTCCAAGGAGGGAGGACCTTGATGCCACTGGTAAAGTAGTTTGAAGTGAAATGAAATAGACGATCAGAGTTCTGTTTTTCAAAGTCTCTCCTTCAGGTTTCTTTTTCCAGAACAACAAAGATGATGACCACGCTGCCCTGAGCAGGCAATAACTAAACACAGGAGTGGGTTAGAGACTAACTTTCTTTGTGATAAAAGAAGAGAATCCCCCCTTTCTTTTGAGAAATTGCACCGAATTCTAGTCCAAGCACAAAATATTCTGTGGGTCCTGAAAGATGCAGAACTTTGTATCGCGGTCAATCGTGGCACTGGGTGAAAATCTCATAAATGAACGTAGCACTGAATGAGTTAACAGCCACACATACACTACATTGTGAATATTTTGTGTGAAGAATTAAAAAACAGGGTTGTATGTTTAGCTGCAAGGCTAACATCTACGCTAGTATTAAAATTTCAGAAAACAAAACTAATCTTTTCTCATATAGTCTTATTTGCCTTTGAGTTTCATCAAGAGGCATCAATATGAATTTCTGTTTATTTCTGTTAATTTTTCCAACAAGTAAAAATCTTCTCACAGGAGCTTTAAAGAGGTTTGAAGTTTAAAATCTTTTGACACCAAATTTTAAAATGTTTAAGAAATTTGCAGCTACTCCAAAATATGATTCAATGCTAACATCACTGTCTGAACACCTTTTTGCAGTAGTGAGTGAAACTTTATGGACTTCTTCCACCTCTTGCAGTCAAAACTCTTGTTTGGCACAGCTACAAATGTTCCAATTCCAAAACAGACTTTCAGGTGATTTTCTCGATGTAGCCCTCACCTTGTCTCAACTTTGCCATGCAGTAGACAATTATTCACCTCAGATGTTTCTGCCACTTACTGTGGCCTTTACTGACTTTCTTTGAAAGTAAAAAGATGCCATTAATCTCACGTCTCACCTGTCAGACTCACAGAGGGTTGTTTGTGATGCAGCCAATGTGACCAACAAACTCCTCCATCTCCAAGGATTCGTATTGCTCCTCATGCAGCTCTGACTTGTCCCCTTGCATTAGGACACCAGCTCTCATAAAACTATTTGACAGTTCTTCAACACTCACAGTCACACTGTGCTTTTGAGTTCATTTAGGAGGTGACAAACAGACACTTCTCTGTGGGTTTCGTGGATCCTCCTGTGAAAAAAGGAACTAATATGAGGTTTTAAAAGCTGCATTAACTTTTGAATATTACAGACACAGAGCTCAGGTTGATTCCTTCAGGATCAGATATTAAGGAAATAAAATAATAGTACAAGGTTTTTTAATAACGCTGGCAGATTTCCAGGACCACCCAGCCCGAGGCTTCTCCTGAAACACGGCCTGAATAAGTAAAGTGATAATAAAGTTGAAGATTTCAGGTATCCTTATATGAACTTTCTGAGCAGAGACTGGAATATCAAGAGGACTAAAAGCCTCTGACCCGACCCCACATCCACAGAGGACCCTGAAGACTCAAGTTCAGTGTTTGATAGTCAGTTTATGATTCA